TCTTTATTAGTCATTTAATATTAAACAATAACTGCTAATTATTATATACTAAACAATTATATTTATCGAATTTACTATTTATCATCCGTTACCCACTTTTTGCTATCCGCCATTCACTATCTGCTAATCATCACCCGCTATCTACTCTCGCTATCCGCTGTTCATTATCTGTTGAATTTTAATCGCTATACCAAATATGCCCTTAGAATCATAAAATCAATCTCTTTATTAAATTTAAATCACCCATTAATAAGACCCCACATAATTAAATTTTAACAAATCTATCATTGACTAATAGTTCTTTCCTGTTCAACTTTAATTATTTTATTTTTTAATTTAATTTGTTTAAATTTAATTTTTTTTATTTTAAGATGCTATTTAATGTACTTATTTTTAATTTAACTTTATTTTAATATCATAACTACAAAATAAATTATCATATATACATTTATTTGAATAATGATTAATTAAAAATAAAAATAAAATTTAATTAATTAATTATTATGTTTTTATTTTAAAAATAGGTTAAAACCCCTTTTTGGTCCCTTAACTATTGTACGGACCCTTGATTTGGTTCCTAAACTAAAAAAATCCCTGATTTGGTCCTTATTGTTCACCATTTTTACCCTGATTTGGTTCTTCTATTAAAAATTGTGTGACGTGGCCTGTTACTTCACGGTTACCAAATGACATGTCATATAGTAGTCCACGTGGAAGATAATATAGCCAAAAAGTGATGACGTGGAAAAAATAATAATATAAAAAAATATTATGAAAAATAAAACTTAAAATTTTTTTTCTTTTTTCTTTTTTTTCTTTTTTTCTTTTTTCTTTCTCCTTCTCCTTTCCCTTTCTCTTTCTCCTTCTCCTTCCCCTTTCCCTTCTTTTTCCCCTCGGAACCCAACAGGCTTGGGTTCCTTCGAACCCACCCAGGCGTTGGGTTCCTTGCGAACCCAGGCACTAGGTTCGCAAGGAACCAAACCTAGCATGCTTGCCTGGGTTCACACCGAACCCAGCATGCCTGGGTTCGATGGAACCCAGCATGCTTGGGTTCAATTCCTTGTGAACCCAGCGCCTGGGTTCGCAAGGAACCCAAGCACGCTGGGTTCAGTGCGAACCCAGGCAAGCGTGCTGGGTTCTTCGATCTGCTGGGTTCGATTCCCACCGATTTGCTGGGTTCTCAATTTGCTAGGTTTGATTTTTTTTTTTTAAATATTTATGTTTAGAAGCTTGAATTTTAGGAATATTTTTGGGTTGCAGCTGATTATTTTGCTAGTGAATATTTTGTTTGTGTGGGCTGTTCTCATTGAGAATTTGGCAAAAATTGGTTGAGGGAAAAAATTTACCCATATGGCTGCTTATGATTATCGAACCCAGCAGATCATTGGGTTTGATCAAGAACCCAGCCAAGAACCCAGCAATCTTCAGGGTTCGATTTCTTTTTTTTTTTTTTAATATTTATGTTTAGAAGTTTGAATTTTGGAAAAATATGCCTCGATATTTCTGAGTTTTTTTGGGGAGGTTGAAAGAAAGAATTTAGGGCGGTGACTGGTTTGGGGAGATTCTGGGTTTGTATTATTTTTTGATTTAATGTTAGAAGGTGTTAGGCTTTGCAGAAGGCGAAAGGAAAGGAAGAAGATGAAAGGGAAAAAAGATAAATCAAAGGAAGAAAAAAAGAAAAAAAGGGAAAAGGAAATATTTTAAGGTTTTTTTTGCCATGTCATTGTTTTTTTTGCCATATCATTGTTTTTTTACCATGCTGTCATCTTTTTCTGTCAGGTAATGGGACACGTCAGTCAATTTTTAACGGAAGGATTAAATTGGGGTCAAAATGGTAAACAGTAAGGATTAAATCAAGAATTTTTTTAATTTAAAGACCAAATCGAGAGTCCATATAATAGTTGAGGGACTAAAATAGGATTTTTTAACCTTAAAAATATATAAACTTACTCAAGTTGAACGGGAATTATTTTGGTACCATCTAAAGGACAATGGAAGACCTCGCACCTCCTTTTTTTTTTTTTTTTTTTTGGTACATACCTCTCACCTTCTTTTGTTTTCCACAAGTTCTAACCTTTCGTCACATCATCATTATTGCTGACATAATTTTTTGAAAACAAAACTTTTCGTCAAGCGAATTTTCATTATTAACAAGACATATAATATTTTATTATTATTGTAAAAATATCATCAAATTAATTTTATTTGATAAAAAATAATATTATTTTTAAGCTTTAAACTTGATACGTAGCACATTTTGTTTGACTAATTATTTTTTTTGTCTATAATTATATTTTTATTTCATTAAAAAAATAGTTATTAATTTGTTAAATAATATTTAAAAATATTAATTAATTAATTAATTTAAATTTATTAAATAATAAATATAAATTATTTTATTAATTAAATTAAATAAAATTAATATTTTTAAAGATAATATTTTATAATTTTTAATGATCTTAATATTAGAAGGGATAACTATAACCACATCTAAAGTTATTTTCTTCCAATTTAAATTGATTTATCTATCTGAAAATGATTTTTAAATTGATCAATTTAGATGAGTGAACGAGAAAGAAGAACACTGACCTATATCTTTTTCTTTCCTTTTTGGCCAATCAATTCATTTTCATTGCTCCCCATATCCAAAATTACACTCATTTTTATATAATAATCTTTACAATATCGTATACATGAAGAGGAGGCTATGAAATAATATAAATATTTGAAAGGGTATAAAGAAATGCACCATTGAAGTTTGGGTTTTTATTATAAAAATTTTTGAAGAACTAAAATTGATTAAAATTAGAAATATTTGTAGGAAAACTTTAAAGTTGTACATGTTAAAATTGAGTTATAATCCCTTGTTGTTAAGAGCTTATTAGATTTATACCTATATTGATTGTTTTCACAACATTATTTAAACTAACAAAGTTAATGATTTAAATAATTCAGTGATTTTCTTTTGATAGAAATAAAAAGTTTTGAATTCGAGTCACATGGTATGCAGATAGAGTGGGATAAAAGATAAAAAATTATTATCTCCTATTATATAATCAAAATAAAAAAAATAAAATAACAAGACTAATTACAATAATTAAACCCAATTTTCATATTTTAGTAGTTGACCCCAAACCTTTAGGCGTTGGG